GTATTTGGATGACAGGACAAAATTTCCCCGGAAGCTCAGGAAGGGTTTTGCTGTTATTGCCGCTCATCAGGTATGCATATCGGGTACTATTCCTCTCAGTCATCCTTACACTTGATTACTCCACAGTTGGGTTACGGCTGTAATCTCATTTGGATCGAATGGAGCGTGCACGGACAAGAAGTCCATTCCTAAAACCACACCGTATTTTTTCCAAAGCTCCTTGTTTGAAATTCAGACGTTTCATTGTTGACGGACCAAGATCACGTCCTCTAAGGAACCGTTAGCTTTTTACAAGTAATTGCTTACAAGAGGATCGGGTTGACACACGATTTGGACAAAATATTATCATAATCACCTTTAAAGAAAGATTTTGTCCAAATAGCTATCAGCAGACTAAGAAATGCTGTGTTGAATTTCGTTGGAGTGGATATTTGTAAAATAAGGCGTGGATACGAGGGAGCGAACTAATATTTCGTCTGTACTTTTCGCATTGGAAGGCTCATGTCGCTAGGCGAAAATAAATCGGTGACATTACCCTTACTGGGCAGTTGCTTATTATTGTTGAATGCGCTATCAACGGGCAGAAGTGCGGTCGTTTTTTGCATTGCTTCAAAATTTCAGAAAATAAATAATGTATGAACTGCTCTCGGATTTTACTCTACTATCATCAAATAAATCAGTTTACGCTTAAGCTTGATTAGTTGGTTCTTATTGTTTCTTCTCAATTTTCAACTTCACGGTGGGTCAGTTCCTTCTCAGGTTGGTCTTTTTTTCGAGCGTACCGTTATCTGCTTATCTACATATGTAGGCTGTTTCAAGCAGTTTTATTGTTCGAGCAAGAAACCAGAATTTGACTGATGCTTCAACACAACCCAACAAACAAAAGACAATTAGAAGTCTCTGGTGAATGTTGAACTCCACTCAGCTTGGCAAGTGGCACTCCGAGTCATTTTCCCCTTTCATTCGACTGAAAACTTGCTTGATTAAGTTTATCCGTTCGTTTTCTGTTGTCCGATGGCAAATCATTGATTGCTATTACTTATCCCCCATCACTTTCATCATTCACTTTCACTGTCCAGTTGGTTCGGCGCCGTTGAGGAGTAAATCTTTCATCCCCACAGTCACAAAACTTCATAGATTTTCCACTAGATTTCGCATTTAAATTCAAATAAACGTCGACCATATTGCGCGTTTTAGGTCGTAACGAAAGTCGATCGCTTTATGGTGAAAGTTGATTCTTCTCACGACAAGTGAGGCAGTCATATAGTTTGATAACATGATTTTTTCGGGGACCCAAGTTTATGTGGGCTTCGTTGAACCACTGTCTCACTGATAATCAGTCTTGGTTCCGAGAGAGACTAACTGATATTTTCGTTTTCTATGTATCACTAATCACAACATAGGTGATATTGTCTGATCTTCGGACAGTGAGAAAAATGAAAATGTCAGAGATGGAATTTTCCAGACAGGGGTGCCGTGCACTACCCCTTTAACCGGCGATGGGCAAACGGCTAACTCCATGGACTTTAGACCCTCCTATCCAAAGTTCGAATCCTCACACTGCCGCCGGTTACTTCCCTAATTGTCAGTCTTCGACAGGCCTTAACCCCTTTCCTGAAATATTTTGCTAACGTAAAAAGGAAGTAAATGTTTTTCAGGAAATTGTCATTTTTGAAAAAAGATGAATTGAATGGATACCCAGCAAATTTCTCCACATTTGCTGTTTACAATTTTATCAAACAATGAAGGAGGTGGCACCTATTCAACTGACTTGCAAAGTGGACCATGTGTGTCACAAACCTAATTCACTCATGGTCTGTGTACAATTTCAAGGACTTATCTTCCCTTTCCATCGTAGGATACGTTTGGGAAAACCTAAGCCGATTAACTCTCAAATGCTGGCTCAACTGTTATGCACCAATTCTTTCACTTGCTCTTGCAAAGACGATAGTATAGGAAGGACAAATTGTGATTACTTATGTTGAAGCTTATCTCCAGTTGAAGGACTGCTTCAATAATCCATGACGTAACTAGTGGTCATCTGGATCGCACCTCAAATTCACCCAGTTATCTAGTTAGAACTGATGTTGCCGATTCAAACTCCGGCCTTGTTAACATACAGTGAAGCAGGGCTAAATATGTAAGCGAAAAATTGACACAATTAGTTTAATAACTATGACGTTGATCATTCTGTGTAGTTGTGTAAACTCAGTTTTGTGTTCGTTTGTTGTTTTAACCATAAACAGCACACATTCTTGTTAGGCAATCTAAGATAATAAATTTAAAATTTAAAATTTTGAAGAGTTTCTTGTACTTCGGCACTGGGTGATTGAATGAACGGGAGTCAGTGGACGTAATTAACGAAGTCGAAACGTTTTGGTTGAAACATCGAAAAGATCATGGTGAATGATAATTTTGTGCAATTTCGGAATTCTATCACAGAATTTCAAGTCAAACCATTGTTTGTGGTCGGAACGGCATGTCATGATGACAGGCCTTTACAGTTTTGTAACAAAATGCTATAAATTCATAAAATCTGAACACAATAACGGGATTTCGGTTGAAAAGTTTATTTTCTAAATTTGTCTTCGGTATAATTTTTCGACAGTCATCATGTGATGAAACGTTGGTTCACTCAGAATGTTTGATGCTATTTCCCGTTCCCTGGTTATTTGCTGAGTGGATTAAATTGTACGCTATGAAAATTGATTTTACGATGGCTTGCCTAATCTAATTTAGTGATGAAAATTCTTTATTTGATGGGACTGTGACCATTTTTGTGTGATTTACTGAACCAAAATTTATGCTCAATGAACACACTAGTTTGAGGTCAGTTTTAAAATTATTCCGCTCGGAGTCTCAGACATCAGTAAAAAGATAGACGGATATTACGATGAATTATCACATTTAGCCTTAACTGAGAGCTGGTTCTTTCAAAGCTGTCTTCAAAGACTCTCATCGAAACGGTAAAACTCGTCAGCTTTTCGGTTGATTCGAAATTATTTTACCGTGTTTTTCACTAGCATTCCTTTAGAACTTCAACTGCAATCTAATTTTCTTATATTCTTGAACGTACTACTCTACGCACAGGGTTTACTAGGGGGAAACCATGATATAGGGGTCACAAGTCATCAGACGTGAGTTGTACTACGCTAAAGTCAATTGTTTGCACAACATCAAAGTAAGTTCTTTGGAAACTTTTAATCACGTTTTCTTTTTGGACAATGGATGGGTTAAATGGTAAAATAGAAGACTTTTCCCCTCTCTCTGTCTCTCTAAGTCTTACTAAGCGTGTATAAAAACCAGATTAATTCTAGTAAAACAAATTAGTTTGGAATGAACGCAAATCATTTCCATCCTAACCTGATAGTTCGTAGAGGGCAGATCAGAATTTGTTTTACGTGTTGCTGTTTGTGCTTGCGAAGCGATTACTCTCTGAAACGGCTTATGAAAGCTAAGTGTTAGTTTTTTATAGAAAGCTGACGTTGATGGTGGTTGTATAGTAGGAAGCAACAGTGCAGTCCGCTTACATCGTCACCAACATGATCTGTTGGCATCAATGGAGAAAGCTGCTTATTCGATCGCAGACCCACTTTCCGTCTGAGTTAATTACGAACTTACAATGCCGTCAAACCTTTTTGTAGGTCTAGGCTCCCATTAGTAGGCACTTGCTATACGTGTTCCTGAAGACGGAAGGGATTATATTCACACTATTCTAAATTTTATTTTGTGAAGTAGTATTGATTAAGCCTACTGCTATTCATCTGGGCAGGATTTGTAGAGTTAGGACCATTGTGCGACACCCCGATTCTACGTCATGTTGTCGGAAGGAGGATGCGAAAAGCCGTCCTATCATCCGTGTCCTGCGGGCACTATGCGCCCTTATTCACCGCACCTGTAGCACCGCTTTTATTCACAAAGCGTGAGTGGCTGAACTACAGCGAGTGCGTCGCTGCTGCTCCAAAGCTTCACTCCGTTTTTTATCCGAGCAACGGCGGTTTAGTTTACACGGAACAGATAGGTGTCAAGGTCCGTCATGGTTCGGTGAGGCTGATCGGATGGTCGGTCCATCACAGACTACCGAAGCTTACTGGAATGAATGTGTGTGTGTGTGTGTGTGTGTGTGTGTTTACGGAAGCGAGTAGAAGAGGTATTTGACAGATCAGACGGTGCAAACGATCTTAGTAAGGAGGCGTAAACGAGGCACGAACAAAGCACTTTCCTATCCTCCAGGGCAAAGCAATGAACCAGAACCCGATGCCTTTCGGCAACAGTTATCCAGTCAGTCAAGCGGACATCAAAGGTGTAAGTACAGTCAAGGGCATTGGGCAATTTTAATGAATAGTCAGTGAGAAATGGATTCCCCTAGGCTACGAGGAAGCAAGTCAGATTTAGCCATAACTTGACGATTGAGGTTGTTCAGATGTACAAGAGCACACAAAGTAGTGAAGACCTCAAGTTTCTTTGTTGTGAATGAATTTTTACTGCTAGTTATTCAATAAGACAACGGTAACTGAAATCCGGGAAAGGAATATCAATCCTAGTAAGAAGTGACCTGCTGTGGTAATAAAATTCAGTGATGACTTGTTCCGTCGGTTTTGTACCGTCCCACTAACACTAGTGATGACTCACTTGCCCGTCTAGCTGGTTTGTCTGGCGGCGCCCAGATTGGTTGGTTCGGCTCTGGTTCTAAATTACATGAACTGTGAGACGAAATGTATTCACGGACAATGGATAACAAGGAAGAAAATCCGGAGACCTTATAACAACGATAGCTGGTTACAACTAGTTAAAAAGGCTCACATATTTCATCGCTCTTGAACAAAGTATGAGGTAATAACCGTCATGTAACACGTCATTACTATGTATTTTTCTGCAAGCTTCATGCTATTTTTGTTTTCAATAAAGGTATTCGGGTAATCCTTTCAGATATATAAACAATGCGGCACTCAGTGAGGCAAAACATCTGCAATTATTTTGCTTTAAATATAGGCAGATAGATGTTATCAAATGTTGAACGCTTCCATCCAGTCTCTCCTGATACTAAATCCATCGAAATGTTTGAAGTAAATCTCTACTCTTTCCCACTCATCATTTCTTACGAACGAAGAGGTTATCAATAACGGTGTCCTCACTATATGGATTCGACTTCATCAAGTACCCAGGGATAACGGTAAGTTGAAAACTCCGATTATCTGCGTACATTCCATTATTTGCTAGAAAACTATGACTTTTGTCTTTCTGAATTCGTAGACCCCGGCAATCCCAGGCCCCACGTTTAATTCTGTTTACTCATGTTTATCCATGTGCTCACCCGGTCTTACTCCCTTATTCCTGGTACTCCGAAATAAGAGTTAAAAGTTCTGTTGCCTAATTCAATGGCAACCAGCCGTATTTCCTTACTCTCTTTTAAGTAACTGGACTTCGCACTTATTGATGTATTCAGAATCGTGTATACATTTGGGCGCAAGATACATTTAGATAACAGACACCCTTTGCCAAATGATAGTTGCTCCCACTAGGAAATATGATCTAATTTTCGATGTATTTCCTCTCACAAATATTCTTAAAATTCCCCTGTTCCTTACTTGGCTCTCATACTCACGAAAAGTGAGAGTGTATTGACTGACTTGTATCATGATCTTTTTGCATAAACTTCAGTTTTTTTATTCTGTTGTGTATACTACTGGCTCCGAATGCGGTGGGTGTTTGGAACAAATACCTTTCACTGGAATGTAAGCATGCGAGCTTGAAAAATTACTGATTTCGAAAAAATTATTTCCGCTTCTCATTCGTGAACTGAAATATCTTCACGGTACTGCCGAAAGACTGATCCTAAGAAGCATGAAGTTAATGAGGCCAGCGAATTTATAGTCGCCATTCAAGAACGAACAAGCCCCACAGTCTAGTCAATTATAAACCGTGGTTATCAATAGATTTGGTCTCCACCGTCCGACTTTATCACCAGGTCCAACTGTACCATGTCCTTCTTTAAATTGCCTTTTTCATGGAATCCAGAATGGTAAATCTTTCTGAAATATGCCTGCCATAGAGTTCTTAAAATATCTTCCAGTGAATTATTTTAAAGTTAGTTTTTGATTTGTCTTCTAGTATGTTCATTACTTGTCCAAAGATTCACACCCATTTGGAAATGAAAACTCGTTGCGTATGAGCGATATTCCCTTTCGTCTATAAATATAGTTCAGCTGGTAAGAGAACTGAACAGTTGTGAATTTGCGATAACAGCAATAATTGTTTAACATTCTCGTGACGAGCCGAAACAGACTGACCGCATAAATCTCTGATAATAACTGACTCTTGGACGATACAAAGAACGAACTCCTGCAGTGGCACGAAGGGGTTTCGAACTGCTGTTCCGTTGGATGCAAGCTGCCAGATGCCGGTTACACAAAACCAGGGGCGGGGGAAGACTGTGGGTTGTGGGTGGGGCAGCCGGGGGGGGGGGGGCACGAATAATAAATGACACTTTTGATGCCTTCTCCAACTTGTCGGGGCGAACACAGATGATTAGCATTCAGTGCCGATGGACTAAAATCCTTCTGCCCAATAATAGGTCAAGAGATCCTTGAAGATGTGAATGAAATGAAGTTAGGAGTGTCTTTGGGTCAAATCGTATGCACATGGTCCACTGTTCGATTATGCATTCCACGATGTGGCAGTAGTGTGTGACCAAATCGATCCGTGGCCTACACCCGTCTGTCTGATTAGATATGCATCCTTGTGTCTTGTGTCACAGTCGGGAGCAAAGACGACCGACGGGTTTTTGTTGTTGGTGCTTGTGTTTGCATTGTGGAGGGTGGTGATGGTGGCCGTGGTTATTGTCTTTGTGCGACCGAATTTTTATCTGTGTTAGTCTGACCACGAGGCATCGGATAACTCGTGCCAATCATACAGATGATCAGTGTTCGATGACAAGTGTGCAACAAGCACAGACTCATTCCCGTCAATTCAAACGCACCAGTGGAGAACTTGCGTGAACATGTTTTGAGCGTAAGTACGTGCATAATGACAGTGTACCCATTTGTTCGCTTGTGTATACTGTGCTTTCTGATATAGCCTTACTGGTTGGGTCCATTGATCCTTCCAACTGCGAACCATTTATTCTGCAATTTCAGTGGATATCTTGTACTTTTCACCAACCCCGAGGTGGAGCGAGCCAGTGGCTAAAACAACATTCTAATTAGAAATCCACATATGCAAGTTTGACTCGTGTCAGTTGGTCGGACCTCTCAGTTAGAAGAGTCCGTTAAACATCCTGCAGTATTCTTTCATCTGCCTATATCTCAACTTACAGAGGGCAGAACAACACAAATTTCGCTCTCCATTCCATCAGATTTTGGTGCCCCTGACGTATTGGAAGCACTATGAGATGGTAAGCTAATTAAAATCTATCTGAAACGAGAGCGAAAAGTGAAAAAACTTGAATTGTGTAATCCTTCTAAGAGTAGTCCAAATAATTACAAGTTTGTGTTTCCTAACAAAGTGAACCTTCCTTGCAGTGAACTGGCTCAACCGACTCCTGACACCAGTAGATAATGAACAATGTGGGCAGAATTATTATCAGCCAACAATTTAAAGTGCTTTCAGTTAGCTTCTAATACATACCATATATCATCTCATAGAGTCCAAACAATAGGCAGTTGCACAAATACAAACAGAAAGATTCGTCCACGCTGAAACAAGTAGCATAATAAAGATAGCAAAGAAGTGATGGGAAACAAAGCAAGATTCGGTGACATGTCACTACCACCGAAACATAGGTTGCGTAAGATGTGTTTTCGACACAAAGTTCAGGATTTCTCCGGCGAATGCTTGGTGGCTCTGTGATTTACTGGTCTCGTGATGATTCGGAATGCACTTATCGAGCCAACACGGTGACCTAATTCTAACAAATGACGTTCCACTGTGATAGAAGATAATTTGCCTCGACGAAGACTCAAGTTGGTCGGGATATGCCCACACATTCTGGTAGAGAGACGGCATTCTCTCCTTTCCCCGTAACCTGTACCACAGGTACACTTAAATTTGTAAATATAATTGGAGGTGCCATGATCTTCCGGTCCATCTAAGCGACTATGAACACTTTGGTTATTACAATAGTACCACAAAATTCAGACTCTCCGACGAAACGCAAACTATGTTCATAAAGCATCAGTTGATGACTTTGTAAAAGATCGAAGGAATAATCGTGTTTGCCAAGGACATTGCACACGGTGTCCAATTCCACTTCCACGAGGGAGCTTATTTGTAAAATATTATAGTCTGACCAAGGGTGACTCTTCTCCTTGGATTGGCCGGTTAGTTTGTGTACAAATTATGTACATGGGCTACTATAAAACGTCACCTATCGTTCAGCAAATTGTTATTCCTAATGGAATCAACATGACGGTCTGGAGTTCTCATTGTCTTTGGTTTAGTCCCTTGGAAATGTGGCATTGTTGCAATTCATTACCATACGAGATCGACTATCGACTGTTATTTTGATCTGCCTTTAGTATTCAGTCATTCTATCACACCATCAAATCAGTGATAATTACGTGCGCTATCATAGTAAGCCTTCTACTGACTAGTCCACCAATCTTTCTTGTTGTACAAATTCCCGTCACTGCAGCTTTCCAACTGAACAGTCGCCGTATGAATCCTCCCCGCCGGTGCTTGCGCAGACTGCTGTACTCAGTGAAAGAATCCTGCCCAGTCTTGATTGTGGATCACGATGGGGAAGAAGTTTCTTGCTCGGACTGAGACGTGGGTGATTTCTACGTAGTGCCTCTGAGCTGCATTGCAAGTCTTTTGATGTTCATGCTTAAAGCGACAACCCCTCACCTCGAACTCGAACAGGACTTGCATTTAATCGAAATTATGGGAAAAATGTTAAAGAGGGGACTCTATAAGCTGTGTGGGCAGATGTATAAGGAACTTATGGGCAGGCTACTTTGCACTAGATCCGTCGGCAGACACATTTGCACCTTTTTCACTCTGAATTAGGACGATGAAACAGGGTAAAGAAATGCCATAGTCAGATATCCTCCAAAGTATCTGAATGTCCGCAACCTCTGAGCAGTAAAGATGATGGACTTTGTGTGCCATCCATGAAGATAACACAATTCTCCTCTTACAATTTGATAATATCGCGCATTATGGGAAAAACAAGTTATTCTTTTTACTTTCCCTTAAATAAACTAAAATAATCCATATATTTGATAACATTCAGTCGCATAATACGAAGTTTAGTCAATGAACTCAGTGAAATTCCACTTGGCTTATACGTCGAAAGAGCTCAAGATCAAAAGAACATGAAGACCATCTTTCCCAAGAAAAGACCCGAGTGTGGTGGTGGAGATAATCCTAGATCGAGACTTTTGTTTGTTTTCACAGTTATTGTTGAAAGACTGGGTAATTATACATCACTCACCAGATAAGGAAACCCTTTTCTTCCATGTTATTTTATACCAGTCTATTAAAAACGAGCACAAGGGTATAGAGTCATGTCTTCCGGTCAGGCATCGATCAGATTCAATCCAGAACGGAAAGAGCAATAGAGAAGAGAGGAGATAAGAGTTCAATAAAATTTCATTCAAGTTTCTGCTCTGGATTTTCATAAGGTCCAACTTTTACTCAGTTCGGTCTCTCTTTCCAGACGAAGAACTTAATTTGATTAGTTGTTGCTGTTTTCCCGTAAATATAATCACTCTCTGTGAGATAAGTCTAGTTCCATGGCACGAGATGCAGAAAATATCCGTGTGAAATCTGGTGTAAAATCAAGTCCATAGCATTAGTGATATAACCACGAAGACGCAAATTGAAGATAGTATATTTAAATCATGATTAGGAGCTATTTTCACGGGCAGTTTGTTGATCTCTGGCGATTATTTCAGTGGCTTATGTTTGCCTACAAGGAATTTAAATAACGCTGTCATTTGCTTTAAGTTTATTACATGGAAAAGGTAAATTTTTCAGTGACACTGGTTTTCAGACAAGTGCTACCAGGTTGTCTACGACTAACTGAGCGAATTTCATCGACACTGTTGTATCGCTTGAAGAAACCAATTGAAAGGTACATCTTTCTCAATGTAAACGGCGATAGTCGGGTAAGATCGAAGATAAACATTTTTAACAGGTTGCTGTCTAGTCTTATACTAACTCGGTTTTGATAGGCTTCCTCATTCCCAATAATATCAACCTGATAAATTATAAGGGTCGTGGGTAGATTCAGAGCAATGAAGCTTGAATTCAAAGTGTTTTATCCTTAGCTTTAGACTGAATAGGACTTCTGCGCCTCTTGTGCGGTAAACTACTGGTTTGGTGTGAAAATCAATGTATTTGAAATATAATGGAAA